TTAAGTGGGAGAACTTACACAATTGGTGGCTGACTAAATGCTTTTTTGCCCCACTGTATCCCCACTCACAAAGATCTAGAGAGAGAAAAGGAGAAAGAAAGCAAATAGATACAATGTTAATTGTACTTTTTAAAAAGAAAAGTAAATACAGTAGATGATGTGGGGGATTGTGATGAATGGTTATCCCTGGCATTTCAACAAAGACATTGCTTAACACACACAAACCATCAGTTAGTGTTGTGAAGCCACATTGTAGTAGTCCAATTCCCTGGGTGACTCTGAGCCAGTCATTCTTTCTCAGCTCAACAGACCTCACAGGATTCTTGGTGTTGAGAAAAAAAAATGGAGGAGGGAGCACTATGAATACTGCCTTGACCTCCTGAACGAAAGGAATAGGATTAGAATTTACCCCCCCCAAAAAAGTGGGGGGTGCAGATCCACGAGAGGATCATTTTTGGTAATGGCATCCTCTTGTGTGTTGTGCTATCTAAGGCTGGTAATTGGTCAACAGGAGCCAGATGGCTGATGAGAAGATACCTCATGGTAACATAGACTCACATTTATCTTTATAACACAAAGAAGGTCCAATACTGCCACAAAATCATGCCAACTTCCATTCAGAAATCCAAGGAGTCAAGAAGAATGTAAACTATAGAAGTTATTTGTCCAAATTGTTACAGACAGTCAACACAAACATTTCAACTTCTTTTAAGTAGATGATCCATCATTCTTGAGTAAGTTGAGGCCTGCATGTTTTATTTAACAATAATCTGCTTTAGACCAGGCCATTGAAAGAAAGCAGTACAGAAACCAACTTTTTAAAACTTGTCCAGAGGAAGAGAGTTTTGGAGTCATTCCAAGTTGTAGAGTCCTAATATAATTTGTCTGTGGATTTATAAACAGTGTTTTGTAAATCTGTATGCAATGCCAAACTTGATATCCTTAACCCGTATTATAGAATTATAAAACACATTATCCTGAGTTATATTCATAGATCAGGAACCAAAGAACAGGATAGCTATTTCCAGGCAACCAAAATTGATATTTTGTATATTAAACAGCATCCCTCTGCACTATATGCCTGTTCTGAAACTGGGGGAGGTTCTAAAAGAATACAGAATAAGTTAACAAAACAGAAAACAAATGTGGATCACTGCACATGTTTTGTTGTTTAAGAAAACAAAAACTGGTTTAGGTAACCCTTAAATTAATTTGGATCTATTAATTTCAATGCTAAATTAATGATATATTGCCAAACTTCCTTTAATTCACAAATTGTAATGCTAGCATAGATGCACGTTCACGCACAAAGGCAGATATACACAAGCACTTCTGAAGCAGTGTTTCCCAACCTGATGACCTTTAGGCATTTTGGTCTGCAAATTCCATTATTTCATCTAGTGACAAGTGATGTGTTTGAAATCCATCATGCCTTGAGGTTGCTGGGTTGGGAAAAGATGGTCTAAGTAAGTACCTTCTGCATGATATTTTGCTGAAACAGGATTATTCTACACGCACAAAGCTAGTAGAGATTAATGTAGCCATTTTAATGAGACCATAGCTCAAAGCATTGTGTTTATAAGTCAATACAGATGTGCAAACATTATCCAGGCCCTTTTCATTAGCTGTTTCCCTCTGAATATAATCAGTTTATTTAGGACTGCTGTTATTATTATTATTTTAAGATTCATAACTTCCTGAGTAAGATAACATTTTAGGATGCCTCAAGATGAAGCATCTCTCTTATTATGCCTTTTGAGCAAATTATATTAGTCTGGAGCCATACACATTATTATTGATATATGTAGTTCAGCAGTAGGAGGTAGCCCTCTTGTGGCCCAAAGCATGTAAAGCAAGCTCCGTTTGAGGAAACAACTTACATAGTTGTGCTACACCATTTTTTCAACAGTGTGCTAGACCTATGTTCAGAAATAGCCAAACTTATAGATAGAGGACTTCTATACCTTCTAGTTGATAGGTACCTAAACCACCCATTCAGAGCCTTAATAGGAGTAACTGATCATTGTTCTTCCCACTGGCAGGTGATGGTCAGAGGAAGGGGAAATGATGCCAAGAAAAATTCACCAGTCACCTTCCTTAACTTGTTTTGCATTAAAACTGTAAAGACAGCACCACATGCTGGCCCAGTTATTCAAACAGGGCTCAGAAAAACTTCTGCTGGTTCAGTGACCATGGATTGCCTTTTGTAGCCATCTGGCTGTGCCCCAAGTCACCTTTGCCATGAATAAATGGTCATTAAGTTCCACTGCTTAGAGGCCTGGCATATGATATTCCTTTTGACATGGCTGAGATATAAAATTAAAAAATAATAATCTAATATATAATTAGGAACATTGCCAAGGAGATGGGATGGGATCATTGGAAGCAAAATTTTGGAAACAAATTGAAAAATCATTAATTAAATGAATCAAATTAAATTAATCAAATTAAGAAAATCAATCTGGAATCTTAAAGTATATCCAGAGTCTTTAGATTGTAAAAAGTTTAGTACCCTTAGCCCATGACTCCGATGTCTGCTAAACCAAGGTACAGAAATCATAAGAAGTAAATAAGCTGAATATGTTTAGCCTTGAGAAAAGAAGACTGAGAAAGGATATGATAAAACTTTTCAAGAATCTGAAGGGGCTGTTCTCTACAACCCAAGGCCATGGAATAATGGATTTCAGCTACAGGAAGCAACTCTTGATTGAATTATAATAAAAAAACATCCTAAAGTTAAGACTAATTCAACAGCAGAACTAATTACCAAGTGAGGTTGAGAGTTCCCCCCTTGCTGGATGTTTTCAAGCAGAGACTAATCTATTGAGGATGTTTTAATCTAGATATCTACACTGAGCAAGGGTTTGATGGCATGAGTCTTCCACCCAAAATTTTATTATTTATATTATGTTCTACACCCTGGCTTTCAAACAAATGACATTTGGGTTTTTTTTGTGAATATGGCAGGATCCCAGTGCTATGCCCCGGCCAACTTCACAGGACCTAGCAGGATTCTGGGACTTGTTACAACTCTCAATTGAAGATGTCAGTATGAAGTTTGATGAACTGCATCAACTGAAACTGAATGAATGGAAAATAATAGAATCACCTGAAAAAAAGGTAAGCACAATTCATTTTCAGATTATACTGTCTGGTTGCTTGTGGTGCGTTCCTTTGATTTTTAAGCCTGAAATTATTTTCTTGTGAAGTTATTAGTGGACAACACTCTCCAGAAAGTGAAGGTAACATGGCAAGTACCATGGCAGGTATTTCTGTGGATGCTGGCATATCCAGTACCGTGATGAAGATTTACTTTCCTTCCTTCCTTCCTTCCTTCCTTCCTTCCTTCCTTCCTTCCTTCCTTCCTTCC